TATTTTTCTTTCTCCTCCGACCCAAGGGTACATGTACCTCGGATGATGTACAGTACGGTATGTCCAGGACTGTCGTTGATTGTTTTTCAACCTCGGTATGCTAGCCGTGGTATGAGTTTCCTTATTAACAAATTACCATCGGTACAGCTCTACGTTATGTGTGTCAAATACAAAAAAATATTATCGAGTGTTAACAGTAAATAAAGAGTTTTCCAAACTCTTTATAGGGATTAGTCCACCTTGGTAAAGGTACACTTACACTTGGTCCATATCACTGCGATCGCTCGTTGATGATGCCTGTCGCTGTTGGTGGCTTGCTGTCTGTCCTCTTGTCGTTCTTGGATGTAAAGAACGGTATGGTTAAATAATTATTCTACTCAGTAAGAGTTTTGACGCGGGCCCTGGGAGGAAAAAAAATGGTTTCCCGATGGATGTGCGCTCATCAGCCAGTTCCGATTTCGTGATCGGTTTACCTAACCGAACTGTGGTAAACTAAGCCATAAATGATCTTTGTTGAGATCAATAATTTTGGAAGCTTCCTGTGTTAAGTCTTGGACTAAAATGCGTTCCTTAGAAATTCCTCAACCAGAAAGCCGAATTTTGACATATTTAGTGGGTTGCATTTCTTGATATGTGGTTTTATAGGTCAGAAGTTTATTTTTTAAGAGTAGCATGAAACAAGCTGTGAAAACAATCATTTGTTTCCATAATCTGACTCTATATTGTTTCTCTGTAGTAATTCTTGGTAAATCGCACTATGTGCTGTTCAACCTGGTATCTGCAATGCAGCCTAGAATGCTTGTCACGTTTGACACAGACTTACGCCCTTTGCCAGTCTCTGTGCGGGTCGGTCAGGTGAGAGAGATAATCAAGCTTCCTAATGAAGAGGGTTATAGATTTTGAAGTTTAGTTTTGTCGCTCCATGCTGTTCCTTTTGATATATGAACTTCATATATTCATTGTATGTAATTACCTGTATCGCTTCATGCTAATAACACTTAAAAATCCAACCAGTCCTCAGACTCGCTGGAAAACTAATCTCCTGCTTTGTGTGGATAACTATCGCTGTTTTTGACAATTCTGAAGGCGAGGGCGACTGTAGAACCAAGATCGCGCTTCGTAACTGGACGGCCAGCCTAAGTCAGCAAACAGCACACAACTCCAAACAAAATGACTCCCTTTACCACTAGTTGTTAAGACGTGGTTTTAGTATTAAAAACTAATTAAAAGGATCAACTATAACAAACAAGGAGAAGTAGGAAGCATATTTTCCAACTTAAAACCACCCAAAAGGCCGATGTCTTCATCGAACTCAGTCTACAAACATATGGAAGCGCTTGGCAGCCTAAAGTTGATGACCACTGACCAGTTACTGTGACGTCACGAAAACGTATTTCCGCGGTGTCACGCAGATAAGAATTACAAAGGAGAATTACCGATCTAGACTTGAGAGTCTTCGGGGGCAAACGATGCACCGATTTTGATGAAGTTGTAAATTCTTTCTTTTAAAAGGCGGTTGATGTGGTTGGCCAAGCAGGAAAGCCTAAAACAATAACAGGATTTCAAACTCACACCACTCCTGTGCTGCTTGCGTATGGAGAACGAGCAGAGTTAGCCACTGAAGAATGTATCCTTTACACTTTCTACAAATAATTTTTCCCTAACTTACATGTAGGACGAATGGTCTATGAGGAGGCCTTGAGCAACCCGAGTCGGCGAGAGGCTGGTGGTCTGGTATTGATTATTAGTGCCAGACCCCTGGCAAACTCTCCCCTGGATCGTCTCCAATCTTCGCGCGGGCGGAAAAACGTGCGTTCTGCAGCGCTTAAAATGAGGGCCTGCTCCCGAGCTATGGAACGAAATGACGCAATACCGCTTTTATTTGCTCGCACAGGCATTACTATTTCGGTGTTTGTGTTATTAAGATATTTAGGAAACCTAGATTTTGACATCGAGAGTTAAACTGCTTATATTTTGCTTAACCATGTATCAGACATCTCGCTCGCACCGATAATGGAGGGCTTTGTCATCTTGAAAAAGAACCCAGAGTACGAGAAGGCAGAGAGCTAAATTGCCGAGACATGGGTGGCACGTCTGTAAATAAACTTCACAACTAGTAATATGACTACCAAGTTATAGATACGACTGCCGAGTAACAAACCTTTTGAGTGCGACAGTAAAAGAGCTAAAACTACTGGAGAAATTTCTTACACCTTAGGAAACAGCAAAAAATATGTTATTGAACTTTCACTAATCAAGAATGCTTTTGCAAAATAAAATCTTACAAGTCCTGTTCTTTGCAGTTTTTCTTCCGTTGCTCCTCCCCTCCTTTTGCCGAAGTATCTCCTGAGGCCTCACAGTGAATTCGTAGCCAAATCAGTTTATTTAGAAAAACAAACAAACAAACAATGAGATCTGTATCGGGTTTTCGAAATATTTGGAAACGATACTTGGAACGATTATTACACGTGATATGTCTGACCTTTTATAAGAGATTTACTCCGCCCTCAAATGAAAACATAGATCTCCTCGAGGCTGTAAACACCTTTACAATGATTCCTGAACCGATGAGAGGGTTGCCTGTGCAAAGTAAGCTAAGAGTAAGAACTAGGTGGTATTGGAGGAGTGTGTAAGGATTTCCTACATCGTGAAAAATTCAGCTTTATTACTTGCCTTTTTTTTTTTTTTTTTTTTTTTTTGGGAAAACAGGTTAGGGGAAACACGATCAATAAACTGACATGAAAAAGGAAGTACAAAGCTTACAAGAATTAGCGTATTTTTAGACTTATCTGCTATTTTTTCAAAGAGTACAATTTAAAGAGAGAAAGCATAATTTGAAAATAACACTAACATAGTCTTTTGCATAATTTGGCCATAAAACGAGCTGTGCACCAGCACAACATGGTGCTTTTGCTAGCAAGATCCATATTTGAAAGCCTACACGAAAAGCGTTAACGATTGATGGCCCAGCGCAGATGAATTCGTTATATTCATTACCACAAGTGATTTGAGATATTTAGATACTATTACTCGATGATTTGGTAATGGTTCGCTGAACTAGGAAAGTTGCACACGCGAAAGGAAAATTTAAAAGCTCGGAGTCTTCTCTTGCAAAGCTGTATCAGGTCTCACGTACACATGATTACGGTAAACACTGTGTGTATAGGTAGTCGCATATTGCCTCGTAAAGTTAAGGATTATTAGAGAGATTTAGCACCGCGTGTACGTGAAACGTGAATGGCAAGAGTGACCACGTGACCAACCCACCATGTTTTCACGTTTGCTGGTTGCGCTTTGCCTTTTCTACGTGAAAGTTACCTGTTTCGCGTTTGCCATGTTCGTAAGATTTCCTTCACTCTTTCCTTCACCGAACAATTAAATGCCGGAAAAAGAGCACCAAAACTTTTGGTGCCCTTTTGATATTCTTTGTAAGTCATACAAGGGCGCCTTCAAACCCACCACGACGTGAGCTCACGCGAAACTAAAGGAGCAATGTTCAGGCTATTTTACGTGAAACGCGACAAGACAAGCTGACGTTGGCTGTTTCACGTAAAGGCGGTGCTGAATCTCTCTAATATCCCTTGTGTTTCAGAGGTTTCAGCAATAGCTGCGGTCGTGCACCGACGAGGCGAATTTCTGCATACGCACGAATCAGCTGAATGGAATTTTATTCTGATACAACAACGTCAAGGCAAGGAGACCAGTTCTGCCAAAAGGCATTCATGAAATTATAATACTTTTGAAGGCAAAGCTAGGGCTTTTTTCCTTAAATATATTTTCTGTTGGTATACGGAGTTTACAGTTCATTAACAGTTTCTTTCATCGTTGATTCTATTCACTGTAGGACATGCCGTTTGGGGCGTGTCCCCTGGGTGTTCCTGATTAGTGTGGTTGCAGTATTTATAGACGGTTCAGTGTGATTTAGACCTCTCACTCTCGCTTTCCACGCTGACATCGAAGTTGCAGCAATGGACAGTAAGACGGCTCGATCGGAAGCAGAAGTCCTTATCCCTCTGGCACCCGAAGTCACGGAAAACTCTTCATCACTGCAAGAACAATCAAATCCACCTTTGGTAGATCAAGTGTTCTCTCTTTTCGAAACTTATCTGGCCTCCCAACTCGACGAATAAAGCAAGCAGCCCGAAGAAAAGTCGAAAGTCGTTAAGGAAGCCGCCGAGTTCAAATTCAAGGGTAATAGGAAGCAGTTCGAGTTCAATTCCCTACTGGACCACATCTTTGGTCAGATAGAGGTCAGCCTGAACGAACCGCAAGAGATCCGCAAGCTGGTGGCAGAAGGGCGACAGCTCATAAAGAGACGACAGAAGTTAATAAAGCTCGCAGATAGAAGCAAAGACGGGTGGCTGGTTGTGCAGGAATACGAGTCGGACAAGCTTGCTTCCGACTCTGAAGAAGAAAAGAAAATTCGGAAGGCTAAGATATCGGCACTTGAAAGAAAAGGAAGGAATCTAAAGCTAACTCCGGCAATGCTTCTAAAAAGTTTAAATCTGCTAGCGATGTTCAGCTTTTTCGCGGTAAGACCTTTCATTTTCTTTGTGATGTCTCACTTTGGGTTGGATTGCCTGAGCATCCAACCATCATTCATTTGGTGTTGTATTTCTATAGTATTTAAGGAGAAAATAATTTACGTTCGTCTGAGCGCAGCGAATTAGAACGTAATGAATTTTTCCCTTTATGTAATGTATTCAAATAAGGCGCCTGATTAATAAAACAACATAATTGGACAAAACATTATTCTTAACAGCATAAAAGGAATATTGTAGATTTATGATAGAGACATCTGGTATCCTTTTAGCGCAACACTCAATATTCTAACAGAATACATTTTTCCTAACGACCGACAGAATAGTTTTAAATTCCATAGCGATCCAATGTAGCTATGTCAATCTGCCTGAGCAGTTTTAAAGACTCTAAAGTGAAGTTTCTAGGTGAATATTTGGTGATAAAAACGTCGAGTTTGTAAATCTTATCAAGAAAGCAACTTAGCCGATCCTAGATGATGGAGACACCTCAGCGCTTGATCTTACACGGAAAGGAAGTATATGAAGGAGAGCACTCCTAAATTCTGGGATTCTGAACGAATAAACCATTACGTTCACCAATGAATTGCTAAACTGCAAAAGTTTGACGATAAAGACTGTCAACTCTCGATAATTGAAATATCCCATGACTTTCAAGGTAAATAAAATGTTTATAATTTGAAAAGGAAGCCATGTTAAAAGTGATGTTGCTGTTATGAGAGCTAGTGTCTTCGCCAATTTCACCTCTCTTTTAATATGATTCTGGCTGCGAAATGACGTTTGTTGCTTCTTCCAAACAACATAGTTTGCTACACATGTAGTTAACAAAGGGATTCCACAAATCAAAGGAATAACGTAAGAGAGTATCTTCCTCTCTATCATATCAAACTGCTGAAATATCCACAAAGTGGTAAACATTACCGCTATGATCCACGGCATGCTGATAGCGAAGATGTAAACACGGAAGCTTATAGTTCTGTGACGAAGAGGCCAACCAACGGCGAACATTCTCTCCAGGGAAATGACAGCGAGAGTGTAGATGGACGTTGTGCCTGTAAATACGTCAGTAACGATGGAAATCATGTACCATGCGTATCCCTCTGATACCATTACTTTTAAATACAGTGGGATGGCCAAAATCCCAACCAACACATCGGCTACAGCCAAACTAATGAGAAGAGAGAAAGTTCGTTTGTGACGTTTCTGCTTGGAGAATATCCAAATGGTGAGAATATTTCCAACAAAGATCAAAGTCGCTAATGAAGTGAAACATGCTTTCCAGAAGATGTTCCATGAGTTAAAATCCATTATGCTGGGCACTGCTTTTCTTTTTGACCTCCCAAGAAAGTAAACCTTTACGAAAGGATCTTTGGACGATAGCAAATTTGAGGAAGCAAAACACTTCAGCAAACTAAAACGTTTGCATTTTTTGACAATTATCTTTTGTCTAATTTGGAATTAAGTCAGAACTTTTTTTTTTTTCCGTATTCGAGCAATGATAACAGTCATTAAACACTCATCGTTAAGTTGAGTCAGGCTGACGGCACACCCATTGGGGGGTCTCCGTAAGGCAGATAGTCAGTACCGATCAGTCCGCTATAATATGGACTTGTTTGCAGCTCAGATATTCAAGTTTACCCTCTGATATCTTGGAGAAGCTTCGACAAAAACAAACTTCAAAGCTTTCTTTATTGTGATTTATACGAATGATTATCTGCGGTGAGTGATGTGATAGTTGTTCGTCTTCAATCGTTTAAATGATCGGTGACAACGGTCTCTCCATTAAAAGCAATACGAAATTTGTTGTTTTACTGTGGCTGTTTCTGTAAGCGTTTCAATGTTTTTTTGTTTTTTTTTAACTTGGCGTGACGTCTGTTGATTCTCATAATTTTCCATTATTCTAAACTTTTTTTGCGCAAAATTGGAGAGCGCCTGACGCCAAAAATTGACCCCCTCTGCTTTTGCCTTAAGGCCAGGCTAAACTGGGAAACTTTGTTGCGGAAACACTGTTGCGGAGGCAAATGTTTCCCAGTTTAGCCGCGCTGGAAACATATGTTGCAGAAACAAATTTTGCTGCTCGGAAAAAAAAATTGTTTTTGCCTGCAGACAAAAACATTTTTGTTTCCCGGACATAAATTGTGCGTGCGAAACATATGTTTCCCAGTTTAGCTACGATGAAAACAATGTTGATTAGTTTCCAGTGAAGCTCGCACATTGAAAAATGTTTCATAGCGACAGCGAGCAGACAACCATTAAAATGGCTGACTACGAAGAAATTCAAGCGGGTCACGCTCAAAGAAAGGGATAGGGAACGGGAAGGGAAAGGAATTGGAAAGATGAAGAAATTGAAATGCTAATTACGCGGTATGAGGAAAGGCCTTGTCTCTGGGACTTGGGTCATAAGGACTACATTAACAAGGACAGTAAGGAGGTGGCGTATTCGCAAATCGATCTACTGATGACAGAAAAATATGATATCAGCCGGGACGATTTCCAAGAGCAAGTAGAAAATTATCTGGTCACAATTTATGAGGGAACAGGCCCTGGAAAGAAAAAACAGAAGTCCGGTTAACAAACAAGCGAAGTGTACCACTCCTCTTGGAAGAGGTACAAGTTGCTGAAGTTCCTTATTATTGTGCAGAATGCCACAAAGGGCTTTGATACAATGAAAATGTGAACATCCTTTGATCCCCAGACTTCCTCGAGGTCAGTTTATTCATACACGCATGCGTAGCTCATTTTTTTCCGAAACAATGTTTCCTCGTTTGGCCACTGGGGCAGCAAAACATTTTGTTGTTTCCTGCTAATTTAGCCACCCCAAGAAACATAACAGGAAACAATGTTTCCGCAACGAAGTTTCCTAGTTTAGCCAGGCCCTTACTTATTTGTCAATTTTCTTACGCGTTTTCTTCAGAAGAAAAGGAAATATATTGAAGCTGTTAAATTCATGGCTTTAGCTAAAGGGGAACTCATTACCTGCCTAGCTGCTTTCTGCTGAATTATGTTTTTGTAGTACAAACGACGTTCTATTGCGGGAAGAGATTCAAAATTTTGATCACTTAAAACTTCATTCACTTACCTTGTGTAGAAAGGCTATTAAGTAAAATGTTCTGGATCTATCCTTTACTCTGGTGTCGCAGCCAAACTGTTAAAGATGATTGTTGAACGAAACTGAGAAATGCAAATTGTCAATAAAAATGCCCGCTTTGAGAAGATTCAAGGAGGACGTTAATCAAATTGATTGCTGCGCTTGAAGATGTGAGCAAGCTGCTATTTCTCTACAGTACTATAGAGTGCGCTCAAATATTCATTATGTGTAATGAACAAAAAAATATCTAATGTCAAACATTAGCTCTTTTAATTTTTCCAGTTGTCCAACGATCAAGGAACCAGAGCTAAAATTACAAACCTTCATTTTGTTCCTCGTTTTTACAAGTTAGTAAAATCGTTGTAAAGGGTCGCTTCCTTTAAAACCCTTAACGGCATATCAGATTCGATTCTTATAACATATATCCACACTCAAGGGCTCTCTATAAGTGGGATGTTTTAAGAAAATCAATGAATGCCTAGAGTTTGCAATATATAAGCCTTTAAGACACCGTTCTTAAAAAAATCCACGTTTTGACGAAACTATAAAAATGCTTTTTTAAAAAGGATAGTTTTAAGTTTGTATTTAAAAACGGACACTGAAGAGCTGTTCGTAATATCGGAAGGCAAAGTGTTCCAGAGTGTGGGGGCAGCTGCGGAAAAATATCTTGCAACGTATGTCTTTAAATTAAAATGAGGAATCACAAGAAGATTTTTAGATGATGAACGTAGTTGACGAGCTGGAACGTAAGGTGTGAGTAGATCACGAATGTACGATGGTGCAAGATTGCTAAGAGCTTTGTACGTGATGAGTATAATTTTAAACATAATGCGATAATGTATCGGAAGCCAATGAAGATTTAACAGAATAGGCGTAATATGCTCATGTTTTCTTGAAAGAGAGATGAGACGAGCAGCGGCGTTCTGGACGTGCTGTAACTTTTTTACTTGGTAGTTCGGTAGTCCATAGAGTAATGAATTACACTAATCCAATTTTGAAGATACAAATACATGAACAAGTATTTCAGTATTGGTCGATGACAAGTACTTTCTTATTGAGCTTATATTACGGAGATGGTATTAAAAGATGATTTGCAGATACTTGCAACATGATCGTTGAAAAGAAAATGGTTGTCAAAAGTAACACCAATATTTCTAGCTTTCTGTGAGGAGCGAATGGTCTCATTGACGACAGAGATTTCTTGAACAGTTGGCATAGCTAGATGCCAGAGATCACTAGTAATTCAGTCTTATCCTTGTTTAGTTTAAGACGGTTAACCAACATCCAGTGATCAATCTCATGTACACAACGCTCAATGTTAGACACAACTAAATCCCTATCAACAGGTATAGCTGGCTGAAAGGACACAAAAAGTTGCGAATCATCAGCATAAAAATGATAACCCAAGTTAAATCTCTTAACAATGTCAGAGAGCGGTGAGGTGTAGAGGAGGTCAGTACAAGATGTGTCCCAAAACAGAACCATGTGGAATACCACATTGGCGGAAGAGCATGTTTCAAGGAAGTTCCGCCATTTACAGACACATACTGCTTGCGATCGGACAAATAAGCCTGAAACCATAAAAATGGCTTGCCAGTAACTCCAAAGCGTGGACCAATCAGATACAAAGCCAAAGTAATCACAACAGCCAATGAGAAGAGAGAAAAATGCCTAAAGCGCGGGAAAACGCGGATAACAAGGCCATGATTTGTTTTCGCTTTGTATCTGATTGGTCCACAGAGTGTTGCGAGGCTTCTGGAACAATCACAAAGCGAAGTGCAGCAAAAATAAAGTAGTACCGGATTGCTTGACACACTCAATTGAGGATTGCGCCACTTGGAGAGGTGCATACAAGTAATAGGGACGACTCACGCCCAAATGTTACAATGTACTGAGTAGATGATTTTATGTGAAGTTAGTTATAAAAAAAAACTGCATTTTGAAATAATTTGGATTGGACATAACGTTGTTCTTTACAGTGTCAAAGAAATTTTTTGAATTAATGACAAAGACATCTGGTGTCCTTTTCTACCATCACTACTATTTAACATTAATGCAATGATATTTTGCCTGTTGTATGTTTTTTTTCTAATAAAGAGAACTCTACCTTTCAACTATCGTGGCGGTCAGCAACAAAAAGAGAACATAAATGTTCTCCTTCGAAACTATGTCGCGTAACGTGCACGGTTACAGAGAGAGCTGAAAGTGATATTAACTATTAATTTTGTAAGCGATAGCAGCTATATGGTCAAAATATTCTAACGGGCAGAATGATTTGATATTCTACATTTAGAGTGGCCGCGTCTGTTATATGCCTGGCCGGGCTAAAGACTTTTAAAGTGAACTTTCCTGATGAACGTTTGATGGTGAAAACATTTAATTGATAAATCTTATCAAGGAGACAACTGACCCGGTCCCAGCTAGTGGTGATGCCATAGCACTGGATCTTCCATAGGGAATTACACGGAAATGAAGTATCTGGGCAAAAGTTCTCTTAAATTCTGGGATTCTGAACGGATAAATTACTCCGTTCACAAATGAATTGCTAAACGGTAACAGCTTGATGATAAATATTGTTAACTGAATATGGAAGAAAAGTCTCCCGACTTTCGCAATCAAAAGAACTTGAAGAATTTGAAAAGGAAGCCAGGTTAAAAGCGACGTTGCTGTTATGAGAACCAATGTCTTTGCCAATTTTACTTCTCTTTTAACATGATTCTGGTGGCGAAAAAGCGATTTCTACGTTTTCCAAACAGCCGGCAGTTTGCCACACATATAATTAACAGAGGAGTCCCAGAAATTAAAGTAATAACTTAAAAGTATTTTCCAAACCCTATCATACCAAGTTGGCAAAACACATTTAAAGTAGTAAAGATTGCTGCCATGACCCACGGAATGATAATGGCGCAGATGTAAACACGGAAGTTTATTCGTCTGTGACGAAGAGGCCAGCCGACGGCGAACAGTCTCTCCACAGAAATGACTGCAAGAGTGTAGATGGACGTTATGCTGGTAAAAATGTCAGCATCTGTGGAAACAATGCGCCACGAAGACCTCTTTGATACAGCTGCTTTGATATAAATGAGTGGGATCGCCAATATTCCAATCAACAAATCAGCCACGGCCAAGCTTATGAGTAGAGAGGAAGAGCGTCTTTGACGGTTCTGTCTGAAGAATATCCAGATGGTAAGGACCATGATTTCCAAAGCTGATCAAAGTCGCTAATACAGCAAAGCATATATTCCAAAAGATGTTCCATGAGTTAAAATCCATGATATCAGACAATGCTGTTCTTGTGTCCTATTAAGAAAAACCTTTCCTTTCTAGCTGCAGATTTATTGACCATTACTCTGATTTTTCTTTTGTTGTCACTTCTTTGCTTTTAATTCTACTTTGAAATAGTGGTACTTAGGAACCGTTCATCATAGGGGGGCAGGAGGATTTTGGTTGTGTTACGATTAAAAATTTAGCTGATCCCCTCATATGGCTTTATAACATTTGTATCATCCCCACTCATTGGCATACAATATTCCAAGTCCCTTTCCTTATACTCTGTTGACGACGGCTGATCCCCCTTCTTTGTCCACCCCCCTCCTTGAAAACTACGTGATCCTCCCAAACTCTTTCTTTCCCCCACCCCCAGGAGACAATGGTGGCTGGTCCTTAAGGGTCGTGATGGGGGAGCTTTAACGTTTGACGGTTAAATTTTTCGTAATTTGACCGTTGAGGGTTATACTTTAAGGCATTTGACACTTTATGGTTAAATTTTTCAAACTGCTAATGATTGGTTATTATGTCCTCTATCGATCTGGTTAAATCAATATTGGGTATTCTTTTTTCAACTTTTCATTACGATCTGAATTATATGCAGTTTCAAGAATAATTTACAGTTATTACTTTCGAACAGTCCAAAGGTCTATTGGTCCAGTCTAATTTTACCCTGGAAATCTATGATGCAGTTGCACGGCGTCGTGGCGCACTGATCTGAAGACCTGAGGTTCGATTCTACATGAGGACTCAGAATTTTATCCTTTTCTTGCGTTCATGATCACAAGGCGGCAAAAGACATCTTTCTTTGATATTTGCAGTGCCTGGCTAACACTAGTCTTCTAGTCCTGAGCGCGAACGAAATAAGTACCGCAGGTGTTCTGCCGAACGTGAACAAAAGCGCTCGTTTCGTAATTCCTTGCTTTAAAAAAAAAAAAAAAAATGAAAGATAACACGGCTATTGAAAGGCTATTACCAATATGGAAATTAAAATATAATTTTGCAGCTTAAACTGAGAGCTTCTTTTTTTCTGTAGGCTAATACTTTCGGATGTGACCCAATGATATATTCCAAGAATTGAAAAATTTACGTCTCACCGTGTCACTTTCGTTATCCGTCTCCGGGAAACAGTTATGGTTGCTCCGAGTCGAGTTGTTGTTGTCTAGCTATGCTGTTTTCCATTAGGTTTTTCACCAGCCGGTACAATTTACATGTAATAGGACCTGTCGCGCTCAAATTCTTATGCATTTGTCCTAATTTCTAGTACCTGTTAGGCGTAGTGACAATAATTACCGCATTTTTTTTAAACTTTATGGCAACGGAACGAAGAGGAATACCTCTAGATACCAAGCAATAGTGATGGGAAAGTCACAAGTTATGTCACGCAATTTTACTGCGAAAACACCGTCATTAATTCCCATTACTGAAAATCTCCAAATGCTTGGTGTTACCATTGACGACAAAATGATATTCGAGAGGCACATTGCAAATGTACACAGAAAAGTTTCTCAGCAGATCGCTGCAAGCGAATGAAAAAGATGGTACCATTTGAAACAAGAAAGTGTCAAAACCTCACATTCATAATTCCGCGCTTCAATTGCTACTTAGAGACATGGCGTTTCTGAATAAAAAACACCACTGCATAGCTGAAAGAGTTAACGAGTGTTCCCTCCGCTTCGTCTTTAATGAAAATTAAACAAACGCCCTACTGAGAACTTCTTGGTAAAATAGGCTTACCATCACTTGTTAATCAACGCCTCCAGAAAAAAGTATGCATAGTTTCAAAGTTATAAACAGTAATCCTGCACCAGAGTATAAAAAAAAAAAAAACTGATCGGAAATAGAAACGGCCATTACGACCTAAGAGGAAACGACATTTTAAAGCTGCCAAGGGTTAACACTTCAAGTTACGGTTTAAAATCGTGGAGGTTCACGGCGCCAAAACTGTGGAACTTAATAAAAAACGATTCGATCTTTCAAGGTTTTTAAAAATACTATCAGAAAACTACTGACTTGTCGGGTTTGATATGATCGTCATAATTAATACCTAATAACTTCAATTGGTTTAAGCTTTCCTTATTTTATGAAATGATATATCTAGTGTTATGTAAATAGTTTTAAATCTTAATTTTAATTTCACATCATCTTAATTATGTAGATGGCATTATCTCAATTTAGTTTTTACTTTTACTTTCTGTATCATACCTGCAAACTAGCTGGTGAGATTGTTCTCACAAAAGCTAAGTGTATATACACAATAACCTTGGCTTGACTTGACTATGGCTATACTGTTTCCGTTGGAGGCGAAGCGATAGTAGTGTTGTCCTGTTGAGTGGGCGTAGCGATTCAATACAAACGACCTCAAAAGCCCACAACGAAGTCTACCGAGTTTTACCCGATATTCCTCGCCCTTGGCTCGCGTCTGTTTCGAAACATCTTAGGTCGTTTAACGCTTGGTGACGATTTCTTTAGATCGCTTCGGTGCTACTTCTTGTATGTTTCGGAGCACTATACAAGAAGACAGATATCTCGCAATCATTTCAGGGTGGCAGTAAAAAAAACAAAGTCTTACCTTGCATGATTGTGTTAAGGGGTGTGATCGGCGTATCATGAAACCTCATAGAAACAATGTTCTCTTCGAAGGGAGAGCATTTTACCGTTTGAATAAGCGAATTATGCCCAGTAGATCCGAGGACAAATTTTTTTCAGTTGTAACACCACAACAGATGATACACATCTCAAAGTAAAGACTTCTCCTTGCAGAAATATATTACATAGGTTTGAACTACTTATCGCGGAGACTTTGAAGAAAAATTTTATTTATACAAAGAGAGCATTTTACCATTTCAACCGACGACTAAAATGCTAAAAAAAATCCGCTAAATTTGCGAGGTGAGTAAGGTTCGAAATACGATATCATAATTTATAACAGTTGACCCTATTCCAAGGAATAATAGAACGGTGGAATGGCAGAATAACGGAATATCCTACATAGTGCAATGCCTTGTTTATGAAACGAAAGTCTCACAAACATGGAACCGCGGTAAAATGAGAGAGTAATTCATAATTAATAGGCAAAATTAAAATTAGGATTAAAGAAAGGCTTGTTTAATCATTATGGTAACCTAAGGATAGACCGTTAGTGGAACGGTGGGTATCTTAAGCTGGCCTCTAGAAGTTATCATTACTATTAACATTATTTTTATAGTTTTATTGTTGACATAATTATTTGTTGCCATTTAATTATTGGCTGAGTGTCAGTCAGTCACTATATTCTTGAATCACCTTTCTCTTGCAGAACAGGGTTCTCGCAAATATGTGGGATGCCGCAGAAGTAGCCATATATAGTCTTGACTGCCTATTTATACATACAGTTCAACAGTAGCACAACACACTGTACAAAAGTCACAAGTATAGACCTTAAGCGATAAGGTAGCTACGGAATAAAGGTAACGACACCAAACCGATCATATCCCTTGCTTTATAATCGCACACAGTACGCTTGGGGCGTCTGTGGTCGCACGCTATTGTCTGTTCCCCTTGTTTTTCGTCTTATTAAACCTACAGCCTCTCCATGGGTTGGAGCTGTGCTTCTCTACGTAACCCGGGCTGGGATTGGAGACTTCAGAAGCCTGTACATCATGCGTTGGTAGCAAATGATTGGGCATAACAGAATGCGTGCTTTTCCTTTAAACACGGCCGGAATCTGGCGGAGTCTATTCCATCAGTTTTTCTAACTCATCAACAAAGTCTAGTACATCAAAAATGTTACCAAGTTTCAAATCTGTCTTGATGGAAGAGTAAAAGAATTCCGGACTCTGCAATCAGAGTGAAACATAAATCATTATTGAACATAATCTCACCTTGCTATTTCTACTTGTAAAGCACTTTGTAGTCAGATTTCTCGAGAAATGATCTTGACGAGAATTCTCAGAAAGAGATCATGGAGCCAGAAGGAAATCAAAATTTCTCTCTTTTCTTTTTGTCGAGTATTAAATTCAAAGACGATCACAAGTAAATTCCCTCAAGCTCTGAGTGATCTAAGGCTCTAATTAATCAAACAATACGACGCATTCATACAAATATATCGTACTTCTTTCTACTTTGCAAAAAGTCAATTTGAAACCGGCCTTTCAAAATAAGCATACATATGTGTACGTAAACATGTATAATCTAGCTCATTAGCGTGACCTCTGCAATCCAGGTGGTAGTGAAAGCAGTCAATCGAAAGATTTAAAGATCTGGGCGTGGACTACTCCTGGGGGTTCCTGATTTTCTCTGTGTTGTACTCTCGTGCCAAAAATTACATGTTCCTTTAAGAATTACGACGAAAAGAGTAAGTACCTCTTTTCTGAGATCTTGCAGTCGCAGTAACCTCCGACCATCTATTCTTTGCAAAGCCTTTGGATCTAACCTGCAATTTAAAGTAGTTTTTATAGCCATCAGTAAAAATAGTAACCCTTTGAATAAATTACTATATTCCATTACACGGCTGCTGTCGTCTAATAATCACCTATTTTCTAGTCCTACAGACTGGAGCCAGGCTTTCACATCACTATGTGTCCACGATCTGATGGAGGACTGGGGCGAGGCGTCAACAACATCTTTAGCCGCGGCTAGTAAAAATAATAATAATAAAAACAAAATTAGAAATATAAATTAGATCAAAAGAGGTTTAAAACAACAGGCGTGGCTGAAGGGGAGGGGAAGGTAAGTAGGGGAAACCGCCCGTAAGAGGTGTGACTTACTCCTTGTCAAGAAAAAATAACGTATTGCAGTCAAGCCCCAAATACTAATAAAACTGTCCGTGGCTTTGGACGTCCTCTCTCCCCTACTAAAAAAATGTACCTGTGCCCTTAGTGACAGACATCCAAATTTCAAGGGGTACCTAGTTTATCCTCGAAAAGGAAACATCCTTCCCTGATCCTCTACTTACAATACATATCATGAGGGGCATGGATAATGGGTTCCTAGTATCATCCAATCCCAAAAACTGCTGAGAAAGAATGTCAAAAAAGAGCAAAAAACAGTTCGATGATCTTCGCTTGCGGATAAGTGACTAATAACATTCCTTCGACCTTAATATTCCTCAAACAAAATTTTGTCAAATCCGGTTGAAACTTCACTGAGTTTAAAAGGTAAAACATGGGAAAGCAGATTAAAAAGAGAACTTTTTGCCATATGGAATGAAAAGAATCTTACGTGCGAGGTTTGTGGGTATCTGTACCTTGAACAACGGATTCCACCAGTTCAATTTTTCCCCTGGCTCCCAGTTCTTTCACAAGTTTGTTCACATTAGAGTCCATTTTATGTTTTTCACTGAAGTCAATCCAGAATTTGGATCCAACAATGAAGCCGAGCCAACCATCAGGTCTGTATTTACCATCCATCATCAACGGAATGATGTCTTTGTGTAGCTGATATGTGTACTCTGCCTCTGTTTAAGTCCGACAAAATGAAATATTTACGCGTTATTATCACAAAACTGAGGTATCCTAACGTACTGCAGAGTTAACAATAACAGCGGAGAGGAAAATTTGATTCAAGAAATCAATCTCATGTGCCACTTTCCTGATACAAGGAATTTTCCGGCCTTAGTTTCTATTCCGTGTGGTAGGCGCACCCACTACAGTTAAGTTCGCTGTGATTGGAAGCTTCCGAGAGGTGTTATTCACATCGCCACTTAAAACTATTTCACCTACTATTCTTCTTCAAAGAGTTTACCGATGTGTTGAACTACATCTTAGTAACATATTTAGGCGCTAGATGTCCCAAAGCAGATTTCAATACGTGTCGTTTAAGCACAAGGTCTTTTTAATCGACGTTAGAAATTGAACGGATTTGAAAGAAAGAAAATGTATTTTGCCTCAAGTAACGCTCTAACATAAAATTGTCAAATTTTCCCGTTGGATTTTTGAATAATATAAGGATGGAAGAGAAGGGAATAAAAATCAGAAATTTCATTTGTTCGCTATTTACCTTGAGACCGTCACGCTTTGGAATCCTGGGGAAGGATAATTTTCTTCTTTTTTAATTCAAGAAATAGTTTATTTTCTGGAAAATAATTTCCGATTAAAAGAATGAGTTGACTTCCAATTTTTCATTACCTGATCTACAGTTTGGACTCTCCTTGTATTTCTGAGACACACAGACTAACACAACACTCGCATTCTCCACAGCCCTGGCCATACTTTCCAGAGTAGAGCCGCCCATCTCATCGATGTCCATCCAAACCTTGAAGCCATCTGCTTCAAGCTTGTTTTTTATCTGAATCACGAGTTTTTGCACATCCCATTGGTAACTGATCATCACGTGTTTGGCGTCTGAAGAATAAAAAATAACAAAGACTAAATTATTCAGAAAAAATAACAAAGACTAAATTATTCAGAAAAAATAACAAAGACTAAATTCGTATGATGCACGATCCTTCGCGGTAGATAGCGCTATTCATGCAATAGCGAAAATCAGACCTGAAAAAAATCAGGCCTGTACGGGATTCGAACCACTGACTTCTGCGATACTAGTGCAGCGCTCTACCAATTGAGCTAACAAGCCCACTGGGAGCAGGCCGTTAAGTTGATTTACGGGTTTATTACGAATCAACTTAACGGCCTGCTCCCAGTTGGCTTGTTAGCTCAATTGGTAGAGCGCTGCACTAGTATCGCAGAGGTCAGTGGTTTGAATCCCGTACAGGCCTGATTTTTTTCAGGTCTGATTTTCGCTTTGCATAAATAGCGCTATCTACTGCGAAGGATCGTGCATCATACGTATTTAATACCGCAGTTCAAAATATATGAACTTCATATATTCATTGTATCCAAAGGCTAAATTATTCAGAAAAAATAACAAAGACTAAGTTATTCAGAAACAGGAACGACCAAGGTGGACCGCAATATAGGCGTCACTTTTTTGCTGAGCAGAGGTGAAATGCAAGGCGGAAGCGAGTGGAGCGTGAAGCGGGGAGTCGCGCGCGAGACAAGTTGCGTGTGTCTCGCTTCGCACTCGACCAACACTCGTCTCCACTCTCCTCGATATGCCAAAAAATGACACGTGTTGTGCAGGCCATAACTTAGGGCACGTACCTTTCGCAGACCTTGCCACTCCGTTTCCCTACTCATCCCACTTTAAATGCTCAATTAAAAATTGATTTTTACTGTGTTTTAAATGACGGAATTCTCGCTATGTATTCGTGGGGCGATAATGTGGCCTGTCAGTTTCAGTAGATGATAAGAACCCTAAGAAGATAAAGAATGGATCGTTGCAGAGTTGAGGCCAGGAGGTGGACAATTAGAAAATTGACAGTGCTAAAACCTTACAAAGATTGTATACTACCGAATCCTGCACAAGACTTGTCATGCACATTGTGCACACATACCTATCATTTGTTCTAATCCAACTTTCTGCCTTTTTTCTTCCGCATATCTTTCTCTACCAGTGCATTCCCATAATGCACCCGCCGCAGCACGCTGTATTCCAACGTTCTCTTCAGTAAGAAGTTTCTCCAGTTCACTTATGGCCTGTTCATTGGCTTTAATTTCTATCTTATTTTCCTCGTCAAATGCCAAGGTCCACAATGCATTGCATGCATTGAGTTTCTCCTCGTTATCTTTAGCAGTTTGGAGCATCCTTAGAAGAATTTGAATGGCTCCACATTTAGCAATCTGAAATAGATAAAGAGATGTAACTCCAAAACACATAAAGCAACAAGGTTCCTCACTGGGTCTGCTTTGATCATGAACTCAGGATAAAGCTCTACTCCAGAAAGCACTTGATCCCAGTCTTATGTTATACACAGTTTCTACACCCTGATTTGATTATTTGAATAGGCCACTTTACAGTTGTGTACTTAGTTGCAAAGCCTTTGATTTGGAGGCTGAAGGCGACCCTGTTGTGATAGAGACCATTATCTAGTTAGCATGATAACAAAGTAAATTATATTTAAACAGCAAAAGTGTTTCTATCAGACCAAGGGCACCCTTAGCCTCACTCCTATTCAAAGGCTTAGCAACCACGCATGCAACTGTAAAATGCATGTGGTCAAAATTCACTTAGGCCTTACTTAGATTCCACATGGCCTGAAATTGTAACATATTGCAATCAATCATACACAGTATTTATACCAAGCTAGGGCTGATGGGAACTTGCAGCTCCCCAAAAGACAACATGTCATGATTTGTAATTGTGTTGCTTTGCAATGTACTTGCCAGCAAATAAGTTTTTATCTCCCTCCCATACCTGTACTTTGGTAACGCATGGGTAGTAACCTCTGGTGACAGCATTAGGCTTTGTGAAAAAGGTTGCAGTGTCATGCAGTGCATTCTGAAATGCTGTTCTTGTATATAGCCCCACCAACCATGGCCAATCAATTATAAAATAAAATGAAGCTTTTCAAAACTCAAGCTTTTCTGTTGGAAAGCCAGTGTAATAAAAAAAAGACAATCAAAACAAGATAGTCAATCTCATCCTATACCATTTTCTTGTTGTTATCATTGACTGCAATTTGTGTCAATCCTTCAGCAAGTTCTGATGAAGAAAAGCCTACACATCTATGGTTTGAATCTGACAAGGACTTTTTTAGTAAGTTTGTGAGAAGTTTGATTGGACCTGAAAGGTGAAATTCGAAAGATTAAAAAGATGAAAATTCAAAATAATACATCACCAGATCTTTTACAAAACATCTTTTCAACACCATTAAGTTTGTATGAATAATCACATGATGAGATCTTGAGTTGTATCCATCATATTTTAAATTATTATAGAAATCAAACTCATTTTGCTGAAACAGTTGTGAAACAAGTCATACAAAATAAAACTGCAGCACAATACTTCAGAACACACCTTTAGTCATCTTTACAACAAAAAAGAAACCACTTTAAATAAAGCATTCAAATCAATACCAAACTACCTGAGAGTTCAACAAATTTGGTTTTCAAAGAGACAAATTAAGTCAATTAAGTCTCAAATCCTACAAGGCACTTGTGCTAAAAAAATTCCTATGAATTTTTACCTTCATCAGCCATGATCAAGTGATTGTTGTTCTCATCAATCAAATAAGCCAAAATAAGCAGACATTTGGCACCAAAAAGAGCCACTTCTGCCTTAAGAAGAGGAATGAGTACATGTGATGCCTGGCAAGCAGCAAAGTTCACCCTGGTTGGCACACGTTTGGACAAGTTGTGAAGGGTTCCAAGGATCCTTGAAAACATTCTGCCCCTTACAGTGTACTTGGTTAGATGCTGTGTTTGGGGATTCTGTTGATTCATGAAAAACAATCAAGGGATAATAAATATCATTATAACATAACCAAAGTAAAGCGCGTGTTCTGATTGGTCAATTTAGCGTCCCCCATTTGCCCATGGGTGTACACTGCTGACGTGAGCAAATGCAAAGACTATTTTTCCGCGCGCGCTTGTTTTTTTCTGGTCACGTAAGATTTGTTAAATAAAAGGGAACTCTTTAGCTACAATGTATCAATGTTATGTTATAAAACAAATGGTAAACACCACAGCGTACACTATTGAGTTATGGATGCACTTGGGAGGTTTGCTAAGCACTCAAGAAGCTAGAGTCGCTCTCGGCTATCGCCTCGAGCGACTCTTACGCTTCTTTCGTGCTTAGCAACCTCCCGCGTGCATCCATAACTCAATAGTGTACGCTGTGGTGTTTACCATTTGTTAAATAATGATAACAAAAAAAAATGATGATTTCAATAACAATAATAATAATAATGTTAATAAAATAATAACACATTAACACAGGTGGTCTGGAAAAGAAGAGAAAAGTGTGGATATATATTAGGACCATGAAAGAGAAAATGAAAAAATTTGGAGATCGAGTCTGAACCAGTGATGATCCAGTCATATTGGGGGAATGGGGAACAGACTCAAGAAAACACTGTGGGCACTTAAGTGGACCTCAAGTTCCTTGGAACTCTTTTAATCTTTGTAAAGATCTTAGTGCATTAAATGACAAGTTGAAGGATAAGTTAAACTGCATGTAAATGAAAGATAATTTTATTCACTTTTTTGAAAATTTGCCATTTGGGTTTAAAATCAAATAAGATAAGTTATTAAGGGGGGGGGAAGGGTTATCCTTAATAAAGTGTCACTTAAGGGTCTACCTACCACAAATTTTACATTATCAGAAATTGTATCTTTGAGCTCTTTTGTCATCTTGATGAAAAGTTGGATCATGCCCACATCGCTGCAAGCTACACAAAATTGATCATGAAGGTCTGAGAAATTTAAAAGCACTGCTACCAGCTTAGCAATGATATCCTGGCACAAGTTCAGTGATTCTTTCTGGCTGTTGTCATCTTTCACCTCCTTTAAAAATACAACATAAAAAAATTACTAATATTTGTTAAACTTAACAATGTAAGGTGATTTTACACTCTTACTGTAATTTACCATCTAGTTAGAGGAAACAAGAAACAAACTTCATGTAAATTCTTAGCAATGTTTGCCCTGATTGCCACCATTGGATATGATTTAAATCATTGTTTGTTTCCTATAATTTGATTTGTTAATCTTGTTTAAGAGATCCTAGGAATAGTTGTGTCTCTGGTGAAAACAGGACTATACACTTATTACCACATATTAAGCTGTGTGTTGTAAGTGACAGATAAGTGATAACAAAGAAAGGAATATGACTGATTAAGTGTTTCAAGTGCTCATTTTGTCTGCCACCACTTTTTTTTTCCTTCATGTCATTGGCACAGGAGTCAAATTATGCAGCTCATTACAAGTTTTAAAAACCATCAGGTTTACGGCCGGGCCGAGCCTGAGAGTGGAGGAGATTGGGAGGCAGTATAAACCAAATTTTAAAATATTTTGAAAACTTGAATCAAGTCATCAAAAGAAAATGAATTAAAATTTAAAAGAGAAGAGAGGGGGCGAGGGGAAAAAGAGGAGAGGGGAAAAAGAGGGGAAGGGGAAAAAGAGGGGGAGGAGAAAAAGAGGGGGAGGGGAAAAAGAGGGGGAGGGGCTTTTGGTGGATGTTTCTCTCTCCATCCACCAAAACCACCATGACAATTTCTGTTACTTCCATTAGAGAGGAATGGTTTGACCTGCTACTGGAGTAAATAACCACAATTTATTTCTTTGTACATAGATATTTTTGCAAAGTTCTTAAGTCAGCACCTTTTATTATTGAAACCATAATCATCACATGGTGCTCAATGTACAATACAAAAAGTTTTGGTGTGGCAATCATGTACTCTTGAAATGTGATAAGAGAGAGTTTTTAACTGATTTAACAGATATTTGCAACAAAGTTCCATATCCAGAAATTTCCTCCTCTACTTCCTCTAAAATCATAACCTGTAAATACTACAAATCAGCACATCAGTAATTGTTATCAGGGGTCTGAATCTCCTCCAAATCTTTCACATTGATTTCAAGTAACCTTCTATTTCACATGGATGATTAATTATACACTCAAGATATAGAATAGCATACATTTTACAAATTATTTCCCCATTAATTTATGGATGGACAGTGAAAGACCTTTGCCACTTTGGTAAATTAAATCATAATATAATTACCTTGTATTTTGTGATAATTGACCACAATATAAGACAGTTGTTGCTGAATCTTTCTTGTTTGTTTGTTTGTTGTTTTTTTTTTGCACACAACATCCAAAACAACGGAGGGGATAAATTTAAGCGGCAAATTTTGTTAATGGTTAAAATTAAATAACATTGGAAGATCAACTTCACTTTGTTACCCAAATTCACTTTGATTTCTTGCTTATACCAGGCTCCATTCAAAAGCATTAATTATTATTTTTATGTTCTTTTGCATAACATAACTTGAAAAATAAACACAGAGAAAGAAAAACACAAAGGATTAAACTTGAAGCTAAAGCAAAGTTTAATTTGAGCCATAGGTGATCCAAATACTGAGCACTTAACTCATTTGGTAGAGTTTATGTATATGTCTGCCAGCTTGTCACAAGTCTTCCCCCTCTCCTCCAAAAGTCTCTATAAACAAATGTTACTATGTGCCAGCCATGATGATTAGTATATTACAGCTCCTCAATTTCCTTCTCTCAAAACAAAGTAACTCTAAATTTAATAATGTAATGGACTTGATAAAACTCTAAGTATAACTGGCTGCTACTTGTAACATCAATTTCTTGATATTTAAACCAAACTGTTTTGAAGTCTTAATATTCTGTGATCTTTACATTTTTGGCATTGCCATTTCCTCTTTGAGTTGATTGCCCACTCTGGTACTTGCACGCATTCTGGGTGATACCAACTGGAACATCTAAAGCACATAACATATTCTTTGTTGTCATTTGGCAGTCGACATTTGCAAAAAATTTGTACCAATGTCTTGTTTTGAACGACATGAGAAGGAACCCTTCTTAAAGTCTTTGGAAAGGGAGCAACATTGGCACTTTCAAGACATGTGACATAGTGCTGTCGCATCAGTGCTTGATCGTAACTCTGATTCGTGGGATCTAAACCTTGGCATAAATCTGTGGTAAATGCCAAAGCAAAAAGACCACAGTCAGCAGAACCTATCTGCTTTTGTACCTTCTCGTTTATGAAGGTAACTGTATCACCAGCATGCAGCAACATTCGACAAGCATGTTCAACTGCAATGGTATGTGGCTTGATGAACAGGCTGTCAAAGACTCTGACAGTGCCAGAATGTGACACCCCAATTGTGCTAAGACATAGCCAGTGTCCTCCAACATTTATACCATAAACAATACGCTATGAATAAGAACCCTAATGCTTCATTTTGCAGTAATCACCTTTTTCATTTTCAGACCAGACTGGAACCTCCATAGGCGTGTCTACTTGTTCTGAGTGAGGACGAAAGTAGAAGGAATCAGCGTTGTAAACTTTTCTCCACTCATCCGTCTTCATGTGGACATTTGCCTGATCAATTCTTGACATGCGGTTTTTGACCGTAGCTCGATACATGTGCGTGCGCAGGTCAGATGTCCTAGGGAAGTATCGGCGGTTTGTGTCTTGTGGTTGCTGATCATCTCGAAACAAGACCTCTTTCACGAAGATTTTCAAATGCCGTCTCATTTCATATATTTCCTTGACTCCCTCCGCCGTGAGCTCGTGGATCCTCTTGATGATCTTCTCATCAAGGGGTTGAGATATTCCAGCAACCTATAGAAATAAAAAACTCAAACAGTGAAAATTCTCGCTATTTCAAGTGGGAACGCCCGAGTAATGCACACCTATACGTTATTTACTCCTTTGCCATTTTTTGTACTGTGTGAATGTTTGAAATTGTACTTTAACAACGACAAGAAAAACGAAATCATGACGAAAAATGTACTGGCACTTTTATGTCACACTTTGACCGGCTTGCCCGTCGTGTACTTTTTTTCATTGACCGTTGCATTAATTCGTGTGGAACACTGAGTTACCTCGCCAACAAAGTGATTCTGGTGGTCTGTAATGAGAGGTAGTTCAATGTAAATCCTTCTTTCGTACTTAGCGATCCCTTCTTCTAAAGCTTTTCGCAAATTTTAGACGCAGTTTCCTGTCTCTTTTTGCTGTCTTCTTGAATCTGAAAGACGAAAAATCATAGATTTGAAGGGAAACAATGGATGCCTTTTAACAGTTAATAATATACATGAAAACATTTCTCAGTTGTGATTGGTTCATATGAATGCAGTTTTCAGTTAATTCAGTGCAGAAGAGGGTTAATTGAGTGCAAAGAAAGAAACAAACCAGACATTCTGATTGGTCAATGTGAAGGTCAATGTCAAGGTCAAGGTCATTGTCACTTGCAGGGTTTGAATAAATTATTTTTGCACCTTATGCGCGCACTTTTCTTCCGCCTAGTTATGAGAAGCTACCTCGTACTTTTTTGTGTATATTATTAATACATAATCACATGATTTTTTCGTGCAATTTGGAATAAATAAGCACTTGTAAATTTTTTCAAAGACCACAAATTGCACTCGCCCTACGGGCTCATGCATTTTTGTTAGTCTTTGAAATAATTTAATCTTGCTTATTTATTCCAAATTGCACTAGAAATCATGTGATTACCAATACAAACTGAATGCTTCTGATGCAGTGCACAATTAAGCTTTTCCCGCTGCTTCAACTCAACTTTTCTGTCAGGTTTTAAAATTGATTCATGGCGTTTATGTGGATGAAAAGATAACTTGGTGCTTGCAGTGTGTTAGCTTTGTTTGACCACACTAACGTCCCAGAGAGAGAGAAAAAAAAACATCAGGAAGCTCGAAGTGTCTTTAATAACTAAGAACAAGACCACCTTTAGTGAATCGTCGTTCCAGTCATTAAGGTGACTATGTAGCATGAATTTTGGACAGTGATACCGCGTATCGGATTTATTAAACCGAATTCGTTCTGTCAATACACGTGTGGAACTACCTTGCGCTGTGCAAAAAATAAAATTTCTCGCATTTTTATCTGTGCCTTGCAGTCAAACTTCCGTGTGTCTTGAACGAGAAATCTTCTTTCCTTGAACACGAAATCTTTGTGACCTGCCTTCTGTAAAAGATAAGTATATCAGCGTAAGATGAGTGAAGTGCATTTCTCAAGCTATTTTTTGGAATGTTAAAAAATAGAAGTGTCATTGCGTGATATTTGTATCTGACCTTTCGGGTTAGCAAGCCGTAGGTGACAGTAGTAACACCAATGTCGCGGATAAGAAAAATATGTGTACGGACAGTGCAATATTTCATTTACCTCTTCTGCATCTTTTCGTTTCCTTTTCTCTCCAGCTTTTCTATCTTTGCCGTGCTGACAATCGAACACTTTCCTTCCCAAAATTATGAAAGGTACACCAGTAAAAGGAATTTTTGCACCTTTAATGTCTCGTGGATCTTCCCAGAGTATTTTGTGACTTCTGTTCGAGTGATCCGTTGTTAAATTATGATGGAAGATAGGATCAGTAGAGCAAGGACGAGAGTGATACAAGCTAGCACGACGTAACGCTTTCAAATATATATCGACATACCAGTGTTTCCGAAACCTTTGTCAGCAAGAAAACTTCGTCGTCGATCCTGTTTCGAATTCCGCAATGAGATTATACGCCTCATCAACAGAATTTACATATCCAAAATTATCCGCATCTCTACCATCAGGCAAAGGTTCGCGTTTTAAAATTCCCGCAATGTTGTTTCTGTTTGTCCTTCTGGTGTTCGGCTATGTCTCCGCGCGGATTTCCGAGAATCTTCGGTTATGGTTTGGAAGTTAATTAAATATTCCATCTCAGTCCCTCTCGACCGAGGTGGTTTTGGTGGATGGCATCTAATGCTGACCTCCTGACCCTATCATGCAATCAAGGTCTACATAGCATGACAGCAAATATCCGATCGATAGGCACGTCATCATCTTGGCCATGCAGGCATCTTGGCAAAAGCGGCTAGGCAACGAACCTGGCCAACGTGTAGCCGTACCCTCCCCCCGAAGAGAAATGTTTCCCTTCGAGAGGAGGGTACGGCTAGACGTGTATTCATCTTCGATTCAGATGAGGGGGAGGGGAGGGGAGGGGAGGGGAGAGCATGTATTTTAAGGCCCTGTTTACAAGCAGGTAGGCTAACCCTAGTGCTAGGGTTACCCTGGCTGGAGGGTTAACCTAACGCTCTCACATTTCTTCTTTTTTTCATCGACGTGTTTGCAAGGCAGCTAGGGTTACCCTAGCGCTAGGGTAACCCTAGCGCTCAGCTTGGGTGGGGCTAACTCGCCTACCCGGGACAACTTTTTACTTGTTTCCAGACCCTTTGAACATTGAAAATGCATTGATAACAATGCGTGCGGTTACCAAGCATAGGTAAGTTGTACCGGGTGGTAGGGTAACCCTACCTGTGAAATTTTGCTTGTAAACCCGGGCTATCTTTGACTCGCCTGCTAGGGTAACCCTAGCACAAGGGTTACCCTCCTTGCTTGTAAACAGGGCCTAAGTCAACGTCATAACCCTTGGTGGAGGATCCCGAAGTTACGCATTCTGACTACACTCAGACGAGATATTCAAGGTGACAAGTATATTTAGGATGAGTCAGCCAGTCTTGTAGTATACACATCCTAATACAATGCACTGCCTGTATTCACTCAAACTAAAGGATTCTACAAAAAGAACCTGAACTACACCAGATACGAAAAACCACTAAAAAACCACTCTTTGGAAGTGGATGTGGAAACGTATTCCTTATCTAATGCAGCAGCACGATACCCCGAGGAAAGCGTAATTAACCTAGTTACACTACTAATCGCATAGAAAAATTAAAAATGTAGTGATATTTACAGAGAGTTTTAAAAACAAAATTACTTCAAATAAGAAAAAGAAAGTGGTCAAACCCAAGACTGACCGACCTGAAATGACTTAATTTTCCCCCAAAACGCTTAAATAATCCCAAACTACCATGATGACACGCGAACCTCTTCAACGTGCCATCAGAAGAATATTAATTTCTGACTAATTCGTTCCATGTCACTCAAACGTCAGAAATTATAAAATCTTCTGACCACTCGGGGCCCCATTTATATGGTCATGGGTACTCGACACAGCCCTCCCCCCGAGCTACCTTAGGCGAGTTAACTATTCACTCATTTCTTCAAAAATTCAGCTGACTTTTTACAGAAGGTTGTGAACTCGTCTCCAAGTAGGAGAGACAATTTGGGGAAGGGGGGGGGGGGAGAGTTGTCTTACCTTACTTTCAAAGTAAAAGAAAATACTTTTTTAAAACTAAACATTGTTAGTATTGGAGATTTGTAGTAAATGCAACTATTTGTTTGTTGAAACGCACATGCTGCTTTGAACAGTAAAATAACACCAGGATAAATAATTCATTAAATAATAAATACTATGACTATTTTGTGGAACGAAATGACCGTAAGATAGAACGAAGTGACTTGGAACGAAGTGGCTATGGAACGAAGTGACCGGATGCCTAATATATGGTAATATATATATATGTTAGCACAAAAACTCTACCGAACTTAGCAAACACATCTGAACACTCAAGAACGACAACATTGACTATTCTATCTCATGGCGCATCTTATCATCTAACTCTCCCTACAACAGCTCCAACAAAAGATGCAACCTCTGCCTAAAAGAAAAATTCCTGATAATTTACCGACCCGACCTCTCATCACTAAATAAGCGTAACGAACTCGTATCTTCATGCCGACACAGAAACAAAGCGTTGCTACGCAACAACTGAACTTTAAAGTTTTTAAGTTTACCGCGCATTATGCAAATTTTCCTAGTATATAAACGATAGTCACATGAATATTCTTTCATTAAACCCCTGAAGAGTGAAGCGATTCACGAAACAGGCTTGTCGGGAAATGTAGTTACGTCCTTTTTTCCTCTCATAATATTTATATGTTAATATATATATGAATGTATATTCTTTTTTTCAGAAAATTAATTGAAAAAATTAATTAAAAATTAGCTTTGTTCTGGCCTGTGACGAGCGGCTGAGGCCGTGGGTCAGGAAAAGAAAAATTGACGTTCCGCAGTCGTTTCCCTCACGACTGCAAACGCCGTTTTTTGCTTGCCCGCTCTTTATTCTTTTCCAGTGAATGAGAGCCTGGAACTGGGTAACCTTATTTCTATTCCGTAAAAGTGAAGAAGCCACAAACAGAGCACGTTTGCGTCAGCGCGACTTCAGCTGTAAATATTCCTTCGTTCCAAAGGCTTCATGGCGTTATCTCTAAAGTCACCAAAAACAGCTGTATACGAAGTGCCCCACATACTCGTTTCAACACTGGTGACGAGGTGAACTCGACTGGAGACGCCCTTTCACTATACTGTGATACTGGCCGGCTAAGTCGTGGTTTAGACTTTTCGCGCCACACCAATCATTGGTAAGAGAAGGTACTAAGGGGGACCGATGATGTATTAGTGGCAAACACATTGCTCCATGGGTAAATCGCCTCTAAACAGAAGCATGTTCGACGGCAAACCTATGCATCCAGTTTTTCCAAAGCATCTGCGAACTTTAACAAATCAAACAAGCTTTCCAGTTTGAACTCTGCTTTAACTGATGCATAGAAGAAATCCGGGCTTGTCTGCAATAAAGAGGAAACCTCACATGAGATCTAAAGAAATGAGTGTTAGAGTCCCAGATTGTGCAACTACGTTGCCGTAAGCTGCATTTGGTCATTTATTGATCGAAGTCTAGTTTCTGGTTAAAATCGAAAAGAACTGTACTCTAAAGAACAAAAGAAAAGAAATGAAACTAATCCAAAAGGGGAATTTAGCATGCCAATATCACAAAGTGTTGTTAAACTGGCGAAGAAATTCCCTAAATAAAGCGCTTTTCGACGAAGTATCGTAAATTAAAACTAAATTTATTACAACGAGCGATCAAGCAAAAAGGTGACTTTCAAAGCTAAAGAGCAATAAACGAAAATACACATGAAAAACCGAAGTGACCGAATAGCAGTTGGTTGAGATTTGTATCTGATTGTTTGAGCAGGTGAGACAAGTTTTCTGGACCAGTCACGAGGTATAATGAACAGAAACCAACGCAGTCCTCGATCACTTTCGTGATATGGCTCTCTACTGAATCCTGAATCCTACGAATTTCTCTCCTTTGATAGTATTAGGGATCTCAAGCAGTCAGGACGGCAACACTAGGGAACACGTCGATTAAGAAATGAACTTCTACTTTTAATTGGAATTTCGAAAATGGCTGCATGTGTTTACCGTCTCATACAGCGCCACACTTCAACTTTAACATAACGTATAAAAGTAGCGTTGACTTACAAATGGAATTAAAATAATTTACCGTCGTGGTTTCCGTTCGCAGACGAGGCAAATTTTAGTGATTTCACGTTGTTGTTTTGCAAAGGACGGTAAAATTTAAAACGCACGTGCTGAGCCATTGTTTAGCAATTAGATCTTTTGTTTTTCCACGTCCTCGTCGCCGTCGCCGTCGTGGTTTGCTTAAGGTCCCTACTGCAAAAGACCCGGTAACATCGACGTTTTACAAAGAAATGTAAATTATCCTTGGGTTAATCAATTTCCTTTAGGGAAAAGTGTGAGGTATGGCCATTACTTGTCTTAGTCATTTGCAGGAGAGGAAATAGTGCTCGATAAGTTCTTTACCTCGTATACTGAGGCAGTTATTATTTATCACTTGATGACGTAGATTGAGTCCAGAAGAACAGATAACAGAACACACCTCTTTTCTGAGATCTCGAAGACGTATTAACATCTGACCATCTAGTTGCTGCACAGCCTTTGGATCTAATCTGCGAGATTAATTGAGAGAAGGTAATTAAAACTGTAAGAAGATTCACAAACAAAGGATTAATCAGAACTATTTTTTACTTAATTCTACTTCAGCAGACAACTTCCAAAGAACACTAACAGCTGACGAACTTAAAATGCCTAACGACAAGAGTGCGTTAGATTTGGGTTTTTGATATTCCGCAGGAGACCGGTAACGTGCTGCTGGTTAAATTCTCATATTTTGCTTTTATCTAACACCTTTTTCATAGTTTACCTTTGATAAAATATACAGTACAAATGCTTTTAGTGCAAACACTTCAATAGCAAAAGCAGGATTTCCATTCATTCCTAAAGTCAGGTGATGAAGCACGAGGTTTTCGGATTCTTAACTCGCACTGAAAAGACAGACAACAAACTCATCAGCCCAGAGCATTAAGAGGATAAAAATTAATTCGTAACTCAGATTCTGACCTGTTTTCCAGTCCAACATCATTCAGCCACTTTTTGACATCGCCACACGTCCACGACTTGATGGAGGTCTGGGGCGAGGCATCAACAACATCAACAAGTGCGGCTGCTGTAAAATAATCGTTAAAGTATAGTATGACAAAGCCATAAAATAACTGTTTACAAGTACAGACAAATATCAAAAGAACACAAATCAATCTATAACGATAAAGGATAGAGAAGGTCTAAATTGAAAACGACACCCTAAAACGTGATATAATTCATTTCCAAAAATTGAGAGAAAAAGTTGGCTAAATTTTGCAGCCCTCTAATCCGTCACCTTTCCTCGCGCCCCCTTCTTGCTCCCCCCCCCTCCCCCCAGGTAAAAGTGTATTACAGTTATTCCCTCTCGGTTCCAGTCTCTCTGTTCCAGATTATTCCCCCAAACCCCAGTACACGTACCTGGTTTAATTCCTAAGCCTTGAGCAACAGGTTCGTGCAGCTCAATTTTTCCTCTATTTCCCAGTTCCCTTATGAGTGCGCCAAGGTTAGAGTCCAGTTTGTGTTTTTCACTGAAGTCAATCCAGAATTTTGATCCCACAATGAAGCCGAGCCAACCATCGGGTTTGTATTTACCATCCATCATCAAAGGGATAACGTCTTTGTGAAGTTGAAACGTGTACTCCGCCTCTAAGTCAGGAAAAGTAAACCGGTTTCTTAAAAACATGAGCAAGAAATCAGAGTTTTAAAATGTTTGAAAAAAACATTCCCCAAAAGGCCTAAAGGGTAAATCGAAGAAATTGAGTTAAGGTTTCATCCGGTCGAACGGAGAAGGGAGTTTGTACACGACCGGTGGTAAAATAAATTTAAGAAAAAAGCACAGTCGCTTCTTCGTCATGATTTATGAGATGTCAAAACTCTCTTACGCCACGCTTTACAACCAAGATAACATATTCTCCGAATAAAACATTTTTTCGTGATCGTGATTTTTGATGACTAGCATTAATTTTTGTCTTATGAGGAAACTGAGTCCACCCTCAAAACTTCATTACCTGATCTACAGTTAGGACTCTCCTTGTATTTCTGAGACACACAGACTAACACAACACTCGCATTCTCCACAGCCCTGGCCATACTTTCCAGAGTAGAGCCGCCCATCTCGTCGACGTCCATCCAAACTTTGAAGCCGTCCGCTTGAAGTTTGTTTTTGATCTGAATCACGAGGTTTTGCACATCCCATTGGTAACTGATCATCACGTGCTTCGCTTCTTAAAAAGGAAAAACGAAAATGCGAAAAACCTTCATATATTACCACCAAAGGATAATGTTATCATTTAGATATCACTGAAGTTTCCTCAAAAAATCAGGATCATTGTTTCCAGCAGACCTTGGGTGATTGGCATTGCCGCTTAACATCACCTAGTTAAATGTTACAAAAGGAAACTAGAATCTTACGCAACGGTAACGTCCCTAAACGGGTATTTTCACACGAAACGAAGCTCTTACCGTCGATTTTCGCTTTTATAGCGGTTGAATAGCTCTAAAAGTAATGATAACACTCAATTTGCCAGCAATCTTTATGCATTCTCACGAATGGGAACGTAATACAATGGTCACATAAAAAAATGCTAACAGAACAGCGATTTGGCTAAGAAAGACTAGTGATCAGCTGTGGGAGCGAAAAGCGAAAAGCGAAAAGCAAGCACACTGAAAAGTAATTGAAAAAAAGACAAGCCTTTCCTGTTGACTGTGAGAGAGCATGGCTTTGGTTAAACTGCACAACTAAAGCTCATTGCAACAAGTGATTGAACGACAAATTTCGCACTACTTTCCAGGGCGTAAAATTGCGCCTAATACAAGCGCCAATGCGACTAAATTTTCCTCTTTGGCGACCAAATCCTGAAAATTAGTCGACAAATTGGCGACTAGAATTTCTAATCACACCTTAGCTAGAGATCTAGTGATTGTTGAAGATTCGATGAGATAAATCTGCAGCAAAGTTCCTCGTTAAGCTCGTTTCCAAAACGCAGCACATGCACGATGTCGAACGTAAATCTACCGTCACTAGACGCCATCTTGGATTTAGGTACCCTATAATGTTGTATATGATCCATTCTAGTGTCCTCTTTGTAGCTCGTGCGAATTTAGCGGGCTCATTTTTGATGTTTGTATGACTGTATCACTGACATGATAAATCTAGTACATTGATAGGGTAAAAATTTTTTTTGTGTGTGTGTCATAATGGCCACCAACTTTTTTGGAATTGGCTACCACTTTAAAATATTTAGGAGCCAAGTGGCTACCGGAAAAAAAAAGTTAATTTTACGCCCTGCTTTCGTAACCAGAAACATCCAAAACTAAATGCAGTAACCGCTTGGATTATCTACTTGAAGCTCCAGAAAACATAAATAAATAAATAAATAAATAAATAAATGAATAAATAATGATTTAACAATGGACATCCACTGGGTGGCTATTCTTGTCCACTGTTCCAGATCGAATTGGAATTTGGAATGTTGGTTTTTGCGGAGGGAGGAAAACCGGAGTACCCGGAGAAAAACCCTCGGAGCAAGGACGAGAACCAACAACAAACTTAACCCACATGAGACGCCAAGTCCGGGAATCGAACCCGGGCCACAGTGGTGGGAGGCGAGTGCTCTCACCACTGCGCCATCCCTGCTCCCTGAGAGTAGTGTGCTCATTCGAGTTAACGATGGTGCCTTTAAATATTGGTCTTTGTTTTGATCGGCTGTTTTTATCCCTTTGGGTTACGTTTTTTCAACGTTTCAGGACTTTCGATCGAATAGCGCTCATATATTTTAGCAAAAGAGAGGTTGGGTAAACTTAGCAGCTGAAACTACAGAGTAGCAGAGACTGATCTTTGCAGCCATATGTACCTGATACTTGTTGCAATGTGACTGTTTCCTGTTTCTCCTCAGCGTGTTTCTCTTTACCTTCACATTCCCATAATGCACCAGCGGCGGCTCTCTTTATCTGGCTATCTTCACTTGTTGTTAGAAGTTTCCGCAGCTCAAACAATGCGTAGTCATCGCTCTTAATCATTTGTCTATTTGTCTCGTCAAAAGCTAATGTCCAAAGTGTATTACAAGCATTCAGTGTCTCCTCGTTGCCTTTTGCATTTTGTAGCATTTTTACCAGGATTGGGACAGCTTCGCATTGGCCAGTCTAAGCATGAATAAAGCAAAATGTAGAGTTTTTCTTGCAAGAAAGTATCATTACCTCTGATTTTAAAAGGCGAGCGCGTTTTCTCCCTAAATGTTTCCAAGTTTAGCCATAAAAGCAACTTATGGTTTCAATCACTTTTACTTTAAGCGGCTGCACATGAAGATATAAGCGTCTGAGCCCGAAAAGGAGCCTGAAGGCGAACTCAATCTCGAGAGCATGCTCGCAGGCCAAACAGAGGGAAGTGAGAGGTATGATACACGTAGGCAGTGGTAGACCGCCAGCAAACGGGTTTTATTGAAACCTCTGCTTAGGTAAATTTATGTGTTGTTTAGAGATTTCATAATCGATAGAGTGATATTTCGCTGGAGTCTACAACACAAAATACTGGCAAAACAAACGAGCCCGAAAAAATGAAGGAAAAAAGGGCGGAAAACGTTCCGTGTCGTTTAACTGCGGCCTTACATAATTGTGGCTATTTGATTTAATTAGAGTGAAATTCTACCCCTTACGATCAGTAATTAGACAACCCAGGAATTTTGGTTCATCGTAGAAATATCAGTTCATGACAGTCCAAAAACAGATCATTATCGATTTCGTTTTCTACAGTGTAAACTGAAGTCACTAAAGCACCTACTGGGTAACTGGTTAAGCCCGTGATCATTGCGCAAGTGAGGGTGGCCCAAACGAGTAATCAATACCGTTTTCTTGTTGCTATCGTTAACAGCAATTTGCCCCAGTCCCTCTGCTAGCTCCGATGCAGAGAGTCCCAAATATCTGTGAGTGGTTGATCCAATAGCTTTCTTCAGGATGCTTGTAAGGAATTTGATTGGTCCTGAAACCAAAGATAATCAGTAAATCGTTGTGATGTACTGTATGGATAATACTGTGGAATTCAAATGTAACATTTAGAACAAAACAAGTAGTTTTAGAGATTAAGGAAGAAGACCTAGTCCTACAACACTCTTTTACACAATGTGGACTACCAACAGTCCCTGCTATTCTGAGAAGTCAATATTCTTTTATTGATTGTTTCGCGTGCGACGGCCTTCTCGGAAAAGGCGAGCGCTGTTCGTAGTCTAAATCTTTATTAAAAAAAAAAAAAAAAAAAAAAAAAAAAAAAAAAAAGAAAAAAAAAAGGTCATCTGCAGGTCAAAAACTTTAATTTCTTTTATTTAACTATGCTTTTATATTTCTTTCCATCACATAATCAGCCAAGTTAATTAGACACAAGACAAGAAAAGGTCAGAGGTGAGCAGTGTCAAAAGGGTGATCAAGCATTGTCATCAAATGCCTGAAGAATTTAACTACAAGGTAAGGTGAGGGTACCTGGATGCTTAAACTGAAGTGTCATTTAAAAATGAATAAAGGTTGAGAGTTTCTAAAGAAACTGTTTGGGGTTGCGTCGGTGGGGGTAACGATATAATTTGGATATATCAACAAAGTTGAGATGGTAAATTGGCCACCGTAACGACTACGAGACGTCTCGAGCGTTAGTCCTTCGTCGTCGCTCCGACGAAGGGCTAACGCTTGAAACGTCAGCTTTTGTTATCGTTACGGTGGCCAATTTACCATTTGAACTTTGTTGATATATCCAAATTATGTCATTTAAAAACCCAGCCAGTGGCACAAGCAAAGAGTTGCAAAAAAAGCCTGCATTTGAAGGCAAAAAGAGAACTAACAAGTAAACTCTTAATCCTCCTCAGACATGTACCTTCGTCAGCCATGATCAAATGGTTGTTATCTTCATCAATCAGGCAGGCCAATACAAGCAGGCTCTTTGCACCAAACAGAGCCACTTCTGCTTTAAGAAGAGGAATAAGCACATCTAATGCCTGGCAAACAGCAAAGTTCACCCTGGTTGGCACACGTTTGGATAAATTATGTAGGACTCCCAGGGTCCTGTTTAACATTTTCCCTCGTGATGAGTACTTGGATAAGTACTGGGTTTTGGGATTCTGTTTATTTGAAAGTAAAGAAAAACAAACAAACAAACCAAAAAGTGAACAAATTGGCAAGACTATATGATAAAGTTGGCTGATACAGTGCAAGTAACAAGTGTGTTTCCTAGGCTGCTAACAGCCACAAAAAGTTTCATTTTTGTTTTGTTTTGTTTTTTTTTAGGTGAGGGATTTCAAAGTAAGAGTGTGGTGAATACAAAGGACAAGTCTTATCTCTTTGCATTTATTGTACAAGTCTCCACTTGCTTGACAGGCAGACACACACACAAACACACACACACACAAAAACACAGATATGGTTATTACAGGAAAAAGTTACAAGTTAATCCTTTCTGGGTTTTAAAAGGGTTAAATAAGAGCTCCTGTGGTAGGTCTTAAAACCCTTGAACTCTCTAACACCCATGAGTGACCTAGAGTTTCTCTTTACTGTATCAAGACAATATCAAGCAGACAAGTGAAGAAAATTAAGAAAAATATCAATCAGGGGATTATCGATTGATCCAATGCCAAACTCTCCAAGCTATGTAACATCATATGAATTGTAAAGCAGACAGAAAGGAGAATTATGAATGAAATCTTAGGAGCAAAATGGTTAAAAGCACACATGAGTTGATGTCACTTACCACATATTTTACATGATAGGGTATTGTATCTTGTAGATCCTTTGTCATACCAATGAGAATTTGCACCATCCCAAGATCATTGCATGCCAAACAGAATGAATCATGAAGGTCAGTAAAGTTCATAATTGCCGCTAACAGATGGTTTAGAAGATCCTGCGACATCTTCAGTGCTGTTATCTTCTCTTCATCCTCTTCTGACTGTTAATTATCATTGACAATTTTAGCGATTGATGAGAAAAAATATATGAATAAATAATTAATAGGATAAAACATTACATGGGGATGTATTATGAAAAAACTGCATCAAAATACAGATTTCTTCATTGTTGAAAATCTTAGGTGGCACAACATTACTTTAACAAAAGGCAATTTACATTGCTAAGATAAGTAAATACCACCTCAAACCCAGAAAAAGTCATAAAGTCACATGGAATTTATCAACATTAATAAGGCAAACAAAAATGTAGTTAGGTCCTTTAAACATCATAGTGTAAATTTTTACTGTCATAAAATTGCACCAAACAACAATCCTGTCTTTGATATCTTGTTTGCTTGTTTGTTTCTTACTGCATTGCTTGCCCACAAGGGAATCTTTCATCGTGTATGTGTATGTTTCTTTTAAACATTTCAATATGTTAATTTATACTCCATGACAATTACACAATTGTTTGCATCAATGATTACCAAATGACCATCAGAGAAGAGTTCTGTATTTACTACTTACAGCTGCATATCAGCATTTTAAGAATGTCATTATTCCGTGCATTCTAATAATAAATGATAATAAACATAAAAAATCTGTAGATACTCACAGTTTTGTCTTCCTCACTTGCACCTTCTTGAATTGTCTTTTGGATTTCATCTCCCTCTTGTGGTTTCTGATCATGTGTATTATTTGTTTCCTGATTTTGGTTGGAATAACATTAGACAGATCAGCCAACAACCTACATTGTACCTCTGTATTATAGCAAACCATACTTACAAGAATATTTTTACTTATCAGTGAAAGTAATCAAATGATCAAGTGGATTTAGATAACAATGTCACGTACTGTAGCCATAAAGGTGATAAACTGACCTCGTCCTTGGCGCTTTCTGGAGGGTCAGCAATTCCTCTCTCCTGGGTTTTCTTGTGGATCTCTCCTTCTTTAACTTGTTCAACATCTGGTGAGGTACTGTCAAGGTTCTGGAATATAATTTGATACCAGCAGAGAAACTTGTTTATACCCTGAAAAATTGAGCTTAGGGCTGCAACAAAACTGACTTGCAGGTAGAGATAAAACATCCCTACATAATGTACACAAGTTGAATTTCTTGATCAAATAATTATATCATTATTTGTCACAAGATATAAAAGCACATCTTATGTTAAAAAAGCTGAAAAAATAGAGAATACTTTAATTCAAAGAATTTATAAACCTCAGTCAGGGCTTGACACTAACTTTTTGACTTACTAGCCAAGTGGCTAGTGATAACTTAATTTGTTACAAAAATTTCAGTTTGTTTACTTGCCAAACTGACCAATGGAAATTGAAAACCACCAGCCAAAACTGAAGTTCTACAAGTCTGTGGCTAGTTGGTTACCATTACTATTGAGCCCTATCAGTAGTAAAAAAGATAAGCCACTCTATTTATAAAAAAAAAGTAACGCTTCTGGAGAGTGGCATGTCATATTCATTACTAGTTTATAGTTTGTGGTCTTCTTCACAGGTAGAAGGTCACCCCTTTGACAAGTTTAACACATTTAAGTTACCTGACTGTTTTCCCTTTTCTCAATAAAAATAACATTGTCAACAGAATAAAAAAAGATGATATTACTTTAAAGTTTGGTAAAGAAATAGAGAAAGACGCTTTTGGTCTTGTCACAAGCATGGGACATTTGAAGAAAAAATTCTGAGTTCAATTTCTTAAAGGGACTCAGAAAACATCTTACCCAAAAAATAACATGTTAGTAATTCGAATAAATTCCCTAAAAACGGTTGTCAACTTCTTAGTTCTCAATTCACCTGGTTCTCGTCACCGGCAAGAGTGCTGTCATTTGTCTCCTCATGATTGCCCTGCCCTTCTTTCTCCGTATCCTTACGAACTATCCTATCCCAGGTTGTTATGTCGGGGTAATTACTTCTACGATCATCAATTATATCGTAAACAAGTTTATGTATTCCCAATGCCAAAGCAAAATCTGTCACAACGGTTTTGTTTGATCTTTTCCTACACTTTGAGTAAACATCAATCAAAGCTTTGGCATGTTCAAGTGACGTTTCAGTCAAAAAATTTTCATCATGAAAAGCGTCATTCAAGGACTGATAATGCCTATTTGTGGCACTTAATCGTGTTTCAAGTTGAGGATCATTTTCGCAGAACGAAGATATAAATATCTTTTCGTCATTACTATCTTTAGTTATCTCTTCATTTTCTGCCGAGAAACGATCCGTCACGGGTTTTTCTTCTCTGGTGGTCGCGTTAGATTCAGCTTTCACATTTCCGTTTGAGGATCTTGCATCTGTGGAAAGTTTACCGTGACGTTCCTCTGAATGGTAAATATTTTCAATTGCTGTTTGTTTACCATTTGACCTTGCATGGGTTGTTACTGCCTGTTCGGTTCTTTTAGAGGTCCCACTTCCCATCGGTCACAACATATAAAAGGTAATAATCTATCGTTGACAACACTAGCCTTCGATCAATAGTCTTTCGAACGAATTATTATTTGTGTGCATGTATGCCATAGACAGAGCTGAATAATTAAATGCTACGTCAGCGGGTATGCGGTCAACAACGCGGGCTCAAGTGCCTACGTCTAAAATTTAGCGAAATTAGCGGAAAATTATAGGGGTTGACCTTTAAAACCGAGGAACTCTGTTTTCGTCGAAGGCACTTTCCTATTTTCAAAGGTTTAAAGGAGAAAATTATTTTTTGAAAATTTTTAGCGGGTGTACCAAATTTTCGGAGGTTGTTCTGGGAAAGAAAAGCGGCAAGGAAAACGACGCCTCGCAGCAACAGAATAGGAAATCAACAGGTAAGAGGATATATGTAATAATCCATTGAAAACAGTGAAGATGGACAGTACCGACGATCTAGTCAAGTCGATGAGTTTACCCGGGGTACCTTAGTATGTGTGAAGAGTTGGTATTAGAAGACTATAGGGAGGACCCGTTGAGAGAGATTTGACTAGGTTCCAGGTTGACCGCGCATTAACGGTCTCTCAGCTGCACAAGAAGATCCTTCCACACGTTAGAAGAATTCCGAACGGCCGTTAATTTGAAATTCTCGCTGGATTGGTTGCTCGACAAACCGACTTTCGTGGGATTTTTTTCGGTGAACTTAAAGGGAAACTACTTAGCTTTCGTGCTGCCGAGTTTTGAGTCGAGGGAAAGTATTTAAGTGTTTGTTTTCGAGCGATTTTGCCGAGCATGTGTCAACAGAAGTTTCCGACCTTCCCGTATTTTATGCACGGTAATTTAGGGCGTCAAGCTGAAACACATCAAAACGGCCTCAAATCGCGAGTAGAACATCACAGACTACTCTCTACGAAGGTAAGACTTTATTTCTTTGATTATTTCACACAACTTTACATTTACGGAGCTCAAAAGCAAGTCCAACTAAACCACTATACAAACTCTTTAATTATTCACTGTGAAAGAGCCTGTGACAGAGCTTGGGCTACCTGTGGTTCGTCTTGGCAGTAAACATATCCCAATATAGAATGCATGATGTATGTGTGCAAAGAAAGGCAATCATTTCGCAAGAGTGGTGTTTGCTAACATAATGGTTTTATTTTAGGAGATTGTATTCGTCATCTAAAGACTGTATACTCCCTTCTGAGTGTTGTTACTTTGTTGCCTGTTTTCTTTGCTTTGACTGTCATCGCTCTAAAGCGCAAAGAATAAAACACCAGGTACACAAGCTAATAGTTTGGTGCTTTCTTTGATATAAAGAATAACGACTACCATTTCTGTGTCTTTTTCGGCATGACCGGCTTTTCGGAAAACCGTTTAGAAGAAAAGACTAGTTGTTAAAATTGTATTTCAATTTGAATAGAATAAATTAAGAAAACTGCCAAAATTTCGAAATTGAGACAACCCAGTCTCAATCAACAAATTTGACATCGACGAAATTAGCATTCTATTTATCTTTTGATTCGTGCCAGACTATGGTGTGTAAATAACTAATCTCTTTGACTAATAAATATGTTAAGAAAACTTTATTTTCTTGCTTATATTCCTCAGCGGTTTTTCATCCGATAACGAAGCACACAGGACTAAAATATGCATGGTCTGCGTCTGTAAAGTATGAAGTCATTTGATGTATTAAATGATTTCATTTAAGTCCTCTTCCTTTCCAGCTGTTCTATTTATTCATTCAAGTTAGCCATCTCGTATTTCACAGGAAAATTATGTAAAAAGTAGGGTTTTGGCAGAGGACTACAATTAAGGTAGCAGAGCTTGACCAAAGTCACTTCTTCCTTTTTACACAAAAGATATTTGAGGCTTTTTGAGTGCTGCTACCGTGATAACTTTCTATCCTAAACAATAAAACACTTGGAAATCATCCAGTGCTCACCAGAGGTAGGTAGATGTAATTTAGCCTAAAGATTCCGAGATATTTACCTCGTGCAAAACATGTCAAGAGTTCCAATGACTATTTATAACAGGTTCGGATATACAGACAGTCCGAGTTTTAAAAGTTTCCGCCATGGTAAGCTTATGTACGATAATAAAAATCATACACAGCTAACATCGCAGAAAGAAAAAAGTTGCAGACTCTTAAAACATCAAAACTTACTGGTTGGTGTTTTTTATCATGATTATTACTCTTGTGAGACATAGCGGTTCTGAAAGCCTAACAATCAGCTAGCCAGATGTCTCGCTTTTGGGTCGTTTCATCGTTCGCACAAAAACATACCGTTACCGGGCCACTAAAGCGGTTAAAAAAACACAACAATCATGTCACTCACCATGTATAAGCTATCGTAAAAATCATAATAAAGAGGGCTTTTGATTTTTTTTTTTTTTTTTTGTATCTCCAATGACCTCCAATTGATTATAGGGGGAGCCTGGATAAGCTTGGATTTGCCGAGCTCTAGACAGGTATATGTTACAGCAGTCTGACCGTATGCTATCTGCCTTACGTGGATCTCCCCCCCCCTCCCCTGTATGGATGTGCCACCTGTCCTGACTCAAGTTAACGATTCATCTCTCATGAATGTTTGTTGTCGTTGTTTGACTATGTAAAATAAGTTCTAACTGTATTCTGAATTAGAAAAGAGAATCGTTCAGAAATTTCAGTGGTAAAGGTTTGTTTTCTTGACAGGTCAAAAGAAAAGCAGCTGCCGGCAGAATGGATTTCAACTCATGGAACATCTTCTGGAAAGCATGTTTCGCTTCGTTAGCGACTTTGATCGTTGTAGGAAATGTTCTCACTATTTGGATATTCCTCAAGCAGAGACGTCACAAGCGAGCTTTCTCTCTTCTCATTAGCTTAGCTATAGCCGATGTGTTGGTTGGGATTTTGGCCATCCCACTTTTTTTAAAAGTAATGGTATCGGAGGGATATGCATGGTACGTGATTTCCATCGATGCCGACGTATTAACAGGCACAACGTCCATCTACACTCTCGCTGTCATTTCCCTGGAGAGAATGTTCGCCGTTGGTTGGCCTCTCCGTCACAGAACTATAAACTTCCATGTTTACATCTGCGCTATTAGCATGCCGTGGATCATAGCGGTAATGTTTACCACTTTGATGGTGTTTCAGCAGTTTGATATGATAGGAAGGAGGAAACTCTCTTACATTATTCCTTTAATTTGTGGAATCCCTTTGTTAACTACGTGTGTAGCAAACATTGTTGTTTGGAAGAAGCAACAAACGCCATTTCGCAACCAGAATCACATTAAAAGAGAAGTGAAATTGGCGAAGACACTAGCTCTCATAACAGCAACATCACTCTTAACATGGCTTCCTTTTCAAATTATGAACATTTTGTTTGAATTGAAGGTCATGGCAAATTTCCATCATATGGGGTTAACAGTGTTTATTATCAAACTTTTACAGTTTAGCAATTCATTTGTGAACGTGATAATTTATCCGTTCAGAATCCCAGAATTTAAGAGAACTTTATTTCAGATACTTAATTTTCGTGTAATTCCCTTTTCAAGATCCAGCGCTGATTTATCTCCACAAGCTGGGACCGAATCAGATGTGTCCTTGATGAGAGTGACAAATTCGACGTTTCCACTGTCAAACGTTCACCAGTAAAGTTCACTTTAGAACCTTTCGTTTTAATCAGGAATGTAGACTGGTAGACAAAGTTACATTAGATGTGGAATATCAAATCATGCGGTCAAACACTGCTTTAATATTAAGTGGCGCTAGCTGCGAAAAGGACACCAGATGTCTTAATCATTAATTTATAAATATTCCTATTATGCTGTTAAGAAAACTGATATTTCCTATTCAAGTTCTGGCTTCAAGTGCAGTTTTTCAGTGTTTCATATTATTACATATTATTATATGGCTGTGTCTCCCAAGAACAAAGGCTGATAGTTTCTAAAGAAACTGTTTGGGGCTGCGTCGGTGGGGGTAACAAAATAATTTGAATATATCAACAAAGTTGAAATGGTAAATTGGCCACCGTTACGATTATAAAAGCTGGCGTTTCGAGCGTTAGCCCTTCCTCGGAGCGAAGCGGGGAATTGTGGGTTGTTTGTGCTTTTAAAGGCAGTAAAAGGAGCTGCGTGATTGGTGGGAACATGGCAACGAGAAAAACACGAATAAAGTAGTGGAATGAAAAGCGTTCGTTGATACCTCACAAGGACTGGGAACTACCCAATTCACGAATTTGATTGGCTGAAATCAATATTAAAAGCGGTCTAGATTTTCCCATTCTAGACCGGCATCTAGACCGATCTAGGAAAAAAGGTACAAAGAATATAGAAAATTGGCATATAAGACACAGCCATATAATAAACACCTTATTAACCATGCTAGGTCGGTCTGTATGGGAGAATCTTCAGACCGAGGTCGCCAGTACAGACCAAACGTATGATATTGACGGTGTATACTGTGAACACTGATAGAGTATTNACAGGCACAACGTCCATCTACACTCTCGCTGTCATTTCCCTGGAGAGAATGTTCGCCGTTGGTTGGCCTCTCCGTCACAGAACTATAAACTTCCATGTTTACATCTGCGCTATTAGCATGCCGTGGATCATAGCGGTAATGTTTACCACTTTGATGGTGTTTCAGCAGTTTGATATGATAGGAAGGAGGAAACTCTCTTACATTATTCCTTTAATTTGTGGAATCCCTTTGTTAACTACGTGTGTAGCAAACATTGTTGTTTGGAAGAAGCAACAAACGCCATTTCGCAACCAGAATCACATTAAAAGAGAAGTGAAATTGGCGAAGACACTAGCTCTCATAACAGCAACATCACTCTTAACATGGCTTCCTTTTCAAATTATGAACATTTTGTTTGAATTGAAGGTCATGGCAAATTTCCATCATATGGGGTTAACAGTGTTTATTATCAAACTTTTACAGTTTAGCAATTCATTTGTGAACGTGATAATTTATCCGTTCAGAATCCCAGAATTTAAGAGAACTTTATTTCAGATACTTAATTTTCGTGTAATTCCCTTTTCAAGATCCAGCGCTGATTTATCTCCACAAGCTGGGACCGAATCAGATGTGTCCTTGATGAGAGTGACAAATTCGACGTTTCCACTGTCAAACGTTCACCAGTAAAGTTCACTTTAGAACCTTTCGTTTTAATCAGGAATGTAGACTGGTAGACAAAGTTACATTAGATGTGGAATATCAAATCATGCGGTCAAACACTGCTTTAATATTAAGTGGCGCTAGCTGCGAAAAGGACACCAGATGTCTTAATCATTAATTTATAAATATTCCTATTATGCTGTTAAGAAAACTGATATTTCCTATTCAAGTTCTGGCTTCAAGTGCAGTTTTTCAGTGTTTCATATTATTACATATTATTATATGGCTGTGTCTCCCAAGAACAAAGGCTGATAGTTTCTAAAGAAACTGTTTGGGGCTGCGTCGGTGGGGGTAACAAAATAATTTGAATATATCAACAAAGTTGAAATGGTAAATTGGCCACCGTTACGATTATAAAAGCTGGCGTTTCGAGCGTTAGCCCTTCCTCGGAGCGAAGCGGGGAATTGTGGGTTGTTTGTGCTTTTAAAGGCAGTAAAAGGAGCTGCGTGATTGGTGGGAACATGGCAACGAGAAAAACACGAATAAAGTAGTGGAATGAAAAGCGTTCGTTGATACCTCACAAGGACTGGGAACTACCCAATTCACGAATTTGATTGGCTGAAATCAATATTAAAAGCGGTCTAGATTTTCCCATTCTAGACCGGCATCTAGACCGATCTAGGAAAAAAGGTACAAAGAATATAGAAAATTGGCATATAAGACACAGCCATATAATAAACACCTTATTAACCATGCTAGGTCGGTCTGTATGGGAGAATCTTCAGACCGAGGTCGCCAGTACAGACCAAACGTATGATATTGACGGTGTATACTGTGAACACTGATAGAGTATTGTAAAAGAGAACTGAAGCTCCGAGCTATTTGCGACGAATGCTCGTACATATTATCGTGCATTATCAATTACCCCTATCACCTCTGTGATAGAATAATTAACTGTGTATATAGGTTGATGATCTTGGCATTAAATTTAGTTCTTTGGTTTCTGCTTGATCCAATGCAGTTGTCCGTTGTCATAGCGCTCGTTACAGTCTTGAACTTTCATATCGCTTGTGACCACCTTTCCAAATTCAGCGAAAACATGACTAGATCATCGAGTCATTTACAGTTATTTAGCCGAAGTGTGGATGAATGTTCGTGAATATTTACCAAGTCGCGAAGCAGTGAAGTAAATATCCATCATAATCGCTTGCACTGAGGCGAATAATTGTCTTAGTAAATATCAAACAGGAACAAAACAATAGTTTATTTCTGTCAATATACCGAATAATGGCCGGAGGTTAAACTCTCGGTTTTATCTCTGTTGCCGTTTGGAAGTGAATAGTACTCAGTAATCAGTCCGAACTAGTCAACCAACGCGCGCGAGAAGCACTATTCACATTGTGAAGACACGATTTCTTTCTCCATGTCTTTGTACATATTTTTCCTGATGCTTTACGCATGCGTCAAACAATTCGAAGCTTCAACGTCCGCCCTGAGCGACCACCTGGGCATTTGAACTTTTGCAGATTAGTTATCTAAAGTTCCCCTCTCCCCCGGGCCAAAATTGTGTTTGAATGCCTTACCCAAGTGCCAGATTTGATGGTCAACCTTTTTTTTATAAGGCAATATTAGTGACCATAACTTTCTACTCATTGACCAGCAATTGATTTGACTGTTTTAGCTTTAAAACCAGCAGCTCTTTTCTAGTGAGCCATCTTTGCTCGAAAGTGAACTTTTGCCCTTACACCTCCATATTAAAAGATAAAATACTTGTCTTGCGCGCGAAAGGCTCGACACTTCCGGTTCAAATTCCCTACGGATGGGGGAGGTGGTGGAATGTTGAAGCTTTGAATTGATCGGTGCATCATGGGTGGAAGTATTTTTGGATCATCATCAATAGCTGGGAACAGACCCTTATATAAAACTACCATGAAATTTTATTCAAAACCCCCTGATGTAAATCGTCATCGTTACATGGCGACAATTTAGAGGTAAAAATATAAAACCCCTGAATGTCAGATAAGGTTCTAACCTTCAGGATCGACGATCGATATCAACATTTTCGCGCAGACCCCTAGATGTAACATTTTACCATCGCAAAAAACAACTGAGCACAGGTTTGACATGGAGGTGACATTTTAAGTTCAATATCAACATCTGGGGACAGAATACGCGGATCATTATCTATAGCTGGGAACAGACCCTTATATAAAACTACCATGACATTTTATTCAAAATCCCCCTATGTAAATCGTCATCGTTACATAGCGAAAATATAGAGGTACAAATACAAAACCCCTGGATGTCAGGTACGGTTCTAACCTTCACGATCGACGATCGATATCAACATCTGCGCGCAGACCCCTAGATGTAACATTTTACCATCGCAATAAACAACTGGGCACAGAATAAAGGGGGTAAGTGTGGTACTGCGTCGGTAATTCAATGTCCGGATGAATATGTCGTAATGGGGCTAAATAGCTTCTTCCACAAATGCTGTTTTTGGGTCGTGTTCGTACCACTTTTTAACCGTGACTGTATTACTTCCCTTACAGCTGTTTCACTGCGGGTGGGTTGTCATAAAGACAGTCACTGTTTTAAATAGTATTATTATTACCACTATTATCCTTGACAAGAATAATAGATATCATTAGGTCACCTTCCAATCATCTATAGCAAGTTTGTCACAAGGTGGAGTAATCTGTTATCATTGCGCGGCAGCACTTTAATTAAAAAGTGCGACAGATTTTTTAATTACGAAGTATGAAAACGTTTTTTCTTTTTTTATAACAAAATGCGACAAGCATTACAAAGCGCGATAACTTTATCACTATTAGTGCGATATAGCTATTTCAAAGTGAGACCGATTATTTCAAGGTGCGACAGAACACTATACCTGATGGTAAAATTGCTGAATAGGAAAAATAAAAAATAAAAAACAGCTACCCGAAAACAACTCGACTTGGAGCAACGATAACTGTTGTTTGGAGACGGAGAGAGACGAAAACGGTGAGACGTGTTCTGAACGTTTTGATTCTTGGAATACGTTTATAGATCATATCAGAGTTAATAGAGGGAACTGGTTCTGAAAGCTGGCGAACTTCAAACGATGGAACTCTTTGTGTTGGTTTATGGCATGTCACGTGACCGCGAAGGTGCACAAAATATGAAGATGGCGACCAGCGAGTAGCCTTACTTCCAGTTTATTCTTTTTTTACGGATGATCTAGAGATAATCTAACTGAAATATTATCTGAAGAGGATTCATAAGTGATGCCAGGGGTCAACTGCTCCGTCCTTGGCTGCGGATCGTGCAGACGATCGAAGGGAATAGGAACTTTTAAGCTGCCTGTCGCGAAAGACGACACTCATCGAAAATGGCGCAACCGTACTGGCTCGGAGAAGTAATAAAAGCATGCAAAATCGACCAGGATTTCAGGGAGCAGATAAAAACGACAAAGTACACGCTTGCGAGAAACACTTCAAACCCGAGGATATTGAAATATGTAAGTATTGCTTTATTTTCAGTCCGACATGTTAAAAGAAAGCTATTTCCAATTATTATTGATGCTTTTTATTTGTTGACAGGTTTAGAAATAATAAAATGTGGCTGACAGGATCAGTGCACAGGCAGTTGGATTTTTTTTTAAAATGATAATCTATGACAAATATCTCCTTACTCAAATTATTTCCAAATCATCCATATTACTAATCAACATTTTGTTGCATCTTTCAGTTCTTCATCAGTTTGGTTACAATAGTAACACTATTAGAATAGAGAGATTCATTTCATGTCAG